TACCCAGAAAAAATGTTACACTGTTATCAGAGCATGTTTGCATGTTCACATGTTCACTACACGTTATGTGTGCTTAATGCAGACTTGATCCCTTGCAAAATATATTTATTTGGTGTTTGAACATCTGAAAATTGTTTCATCGCCAGAAAGGGTTAAACCTATTATTTTTTTCTTCATACTTTGTTTGCATGTTCACCACAAGTTCTGTGTGGTTGGTTGATGCAAGGGATCCAGCCTTGCAAAATGTATCCGATTCGGTGTTTGAACATCTGAACACCTGTTTCATTGCCACAAAGCGTACACATTCTTACTCTTCATGCTGTTGATGCTGGCGTCAAGGCGCGTCTGCCAGTCTGAGACGGTGACGCTGCGTTTGCTTTCCACACTTAAGTTAATGCAACGTCCCGGGCCGCATCGCTCATGTTCACCGTGAAGCGGATGGGGTCATTATATTTTTTTAACACGCGTTATTAACTGTGGATGTGTTTACAAAAAATCGAGGGGGGGGGGGGGTTTGTTTGTTACCTCGGCCAGCTGTTGAAAGTGAACCGAAACATGTTTTTTGATGAAAGAGAGAGGTTGGGCAAGAGGTCTGGGTGAAGTGTTCGTGGGGAGCTGGAGGCGATCGTCAAGAGCAACGATGGGCGGCAGGGTGGCTGGGTGGTTAACAAAAGCTCGTGGCCTCCAGGCAAGAAGAATCTTCGATTATATCAAAGGCCGGCGTTCCGTTTGTCCGTAAACTAAATGATGAGAGCCTTTCAGAAGACCTGAATCAAAAAGTTATAGAAAGTGGAGACAGGAGCTAGTATAAGGTAAGTCGCCGAAATTCTAGTCTCAAAGTTTGTGTTTCAGCCAAAAAACATCTTGCTTGAACGACACCCATTTGGCTGGGGACGTTTCCGAAGCGTAAATTCCACAATTTTTTTTGTTTAAAACACATCATCCTAAAGCATGTTCGTAAAAGTCACGCCCATATAAAAGTTAACCATTTGGGCTGAGCGGGGCGAGAAGTACACTGCTATAATTAAATCTTGTCAAGTTGCACGTTCGGTGCAAGGATCTCCCCGATGCACGCGCTCACTCACGCCACCAGCAGAGGGCGGGAGTGGCGCGCGTGCTGGCGTCTCTGCGTGGCCGAGGTGGTGATGCTTCCCCGCTCTGTGAATCTTCAGTGCCGGATTGAGATTTTGTAAGCCCCCTGGGCTGCAGGTAGTGTGAGACCCCCAGTAATATTTTCAAAAGGAAAATAAAAGTTAAAGAAAAATAAAATGTATTTTTTATATATATAAGGCTAACAAATAAAATTCAGCATTCACAAATGAAATAACTTTTCACTTGCTCTTTGGTTCTTTCGGTAAAGTCACGTAGATAGTGATCTATTAATTTTATATCTACGTGACTTTGCCGAAAGAACCAAAGAGTATGGATTTTTGCAGTCACGAAAAGCTTCAAATCAAAACTTTTAACTTAATCTCTGGAGGCCCTCCAGCTGGCGGAGCCCCCTGGCCTGCAGCCCCTAAAGCCCCCGTGCCTTAATCCGGCCCTGTGAATCTTCAACAATCCGAGGATTGAATCGTCGGCGAAGGTGAATACTTTTCGCGCAGATTTTTGGTTTACATCCGCCAAGATTTGGACAACCCTTCCATCAGTTTTTCCGCGTTTTTTTTAACCTAGGGTAAGTTTTTAAAAGTTAAAGATGTGCTCATTTTGGGGGGGGGGGGGGAAGGGTAATGTTAGGAGAGTTACCGTGTGACCCCTGTTACAGGCAGACCAAGCTTCATGCGTGAACGCTGTCGCGTTGCGAATCCGGCAGGCCACCCATGGTTAATACTGCGGCTGTATTCAGAACGCACATCGGCGTATGATTATACATTTGGGCGTGTAAATACCCCGTAACACAGTCGTTCCTAACCTGGGGTGCACTCACCCCCAGGGGGTGCGAGATGCCTCTCTCTGGGGAGTGCCAGACATGGCCAGATTTGTTTAGAAGGTAAATCATCGACAACACAAATTAAGCACGGGCACGTTAAGTAGCTACTCATTTGTTTAATCAAACCCTATGTATTTATTAACATTTTTTATCGATTGGGAACCAAAGGGTGTGCCTGGCTAAAGTAAAGATGAAGAACCACTGACATAACACGGTTCGAAAAGAGTTAAGGCCAATTGTGTGCCGACGTCATGGGCCCGAAAGTGAAAACTATACCTGACACAATTTTAACTATACAGACACAATTTCAACCGAGAAGATGGTTTCAAATTAAGCAACCATTGGAAAGATGTTCTAAATCGAACCAAACATTAAACTAATTTTCAATGGTACAGTATATTTTTTCAAGTAGTGGTACCCCAAACTTTCGCAGCTTTTAAAATTCCCTTCTCACACCATCAATAGGTAAACTCCCCCTCCCCCCCTCGCCAACCGGCATGTTCACCCGCATGTACACCACCTCTACACCGTTCATCATGCTAAGTCGGCCAATTAAATGCTAATTTTTATGCTAATTCCTTTGTCAAGGCACCTTCATGTCTCTCACACAGCTTAAAGGTCGCGGTCTGAGCTTGGCTGTGTTTCACTCCAGCGCTGTCTTCGAGACAGTCTGGTGCCTTCACCTGATGAAGGCCGCTTGTGTTGTGGCCGAAACGTCGTGATTTTTGTTTTATTTTTTACCTACGTGACTTTACCGAATAGAACCAAAGAGTATGAATCCGAAACAAGTTGTGTAGCAACAATTCGTGAAATCATGAACACATGAAAAGCCACAACTCTCAACCCGTACGTGCAACGAGTGATCACGGGCAGTGAGTTACCCACTGATGAGTTGTTTTAGTTTTAACCTTTTTCGCTATCACTAAAGGTTGCTCGCTTTTTTGTTCTCCTAACAGCGAGACAGTTGAGTTGACATCAGGTTCGTCCTGAGTCCAACCTCTATTTAATTCGTCCTGTAGGTTAGTTTTGTAATTTGTGATATTAATTTGGAGGTATGCTGAATGTTGAGTTGTGTTTTGCAATATGTTTGATTCCTCACGCGAGTCGTTTTGTTTTTATTGCTTTACTTCGTTGCGATACTTTTTTGTCTCCATAATAACGGGGTTTCTTTCCCTCAATATAAATGTGTCGTTAAACCCGCCACCACCCGTAAAAGCCAATTAGCAATGTTTGTCACGTAAACAAAACGTGCCTCCAATTCCTCGATTTGATTTTGACATTTGGTAACCAATGCCACCCCTTGCAAATGCGACTACTGTATATATCGTGGTTTATAGATTTCTCGCCTCGTTAGACAAACTAAACTTGGAACATCTTCATTCATTCTTAACTTGCACTCGCCACAGGACGGGTGGATAAAATCCCCGTCGACATTAGTGGCCGTGGCTACGTGCTGTGGCGCTCTGAGCTCATTGCCAGAGCCCACTAACCAAAGCCAACTCCACACAGGCACACATTTGTCAATAGCACTGCGTTGACCTTAAAAGGTGAAATATAATCGGGTGACGTTTTGGCCAATTGGGGCCTTTCTAGCACACACAAGGAGAGATAGTGGATACGAGTTTGGAGACTGAACTTTACGCCACATAAATAAAATAAACAAGCGTTTTAAATTGGCATATGAATAGTTATCTATTAATATCCGTTCAATTATTAACCATCGATTACTCAATAAACGAATTTGTATTAAAGGTTGCTGGAAAGTGGCATGAATGGTTGTGTTGTGATGAGGTCACAATGTAAACCAGTGGCTCTTTTTAACCTAGGGTGCAGCACGCACCCCCTGGGGAAGCGAGATGCCCTGTCGGGGGTGGGAGGGGGGTGCGAGACATGGCCAGATTTGTTTAAAAAGGTAAATAATTGAAAACACAAACTTAAGCACGGGCACGTAAGTTACAACCACTTTGTTTAATGGAACCTGTGTATTTATTAATGTTGTACATTTTATTAACGATCGAGGCCAAGGGGTGGAAGGCTGCAGTAAATAGAAAAGGGCCATCCATTCAGTACGTACGCATGGAGAGAGGTGGGGGGTAACCCAAATGTGTACGCTTGCGTATGGGGGGGTCTACTGACAATGTTCGTACGCATACGAAACGGGGGGGGGGGGTGGGGGTGAAGCCTCGATAATAATTAGTCTACATTGGCCTTCAAATGAGCCACAGTTCAGTGTCTTCAGCTGTCAGACAGCGAGTACTCGCGGGAGAAGTGGGACTGTGGGAGATGTGTCACTCGCGTGCCCCTGACTGCAGCTATCACACAGCTCAGCAGTGAGTCTGACATCGCCTGGCGGCCTGACCCATGGATGATGATCACACACACACACGTCCTGCAACCCGGCCTCACTGCAGACTGCCGCTGGCTCAAGGTTTTAGCTGCCGCGGTGTTCTCTGTTCGTGCTGCTGCTGCTGCTGCCCGGACTTCAGTTCTAACACTCGTCTGTACATCGGTCTACTGTTACAGTAGACCGATGTGTTGACGAAATTCCTATAATACGTAACCTGTTCGACTGGGTTCAGTCGGAGTTTGAACCTAGCGAACACCAGACACACTTTTTAAAGGCCCGCAACTTCATTCTTTAATGCAGCTGGCGGTGGACTGTCCGTTTGCTTAGACACGTTGATATTATTAATCCTTGATCGTTTCTGCGTGGATTAAATATCGGCCGTTCTATAGGATTCGGGGGGTTGGGGGGGGGTCAGGCGTACGTACGCAGGTGGGGGGGGGGGGGTGTACAAAGTACTCGTGCGTACAGGGAGGGGGGGAGGGGTCACGTCTTGACAGATTTTTGCGTACCCACTACAGGGATAGTCCGTACCAGAACCACTGACGGCAACCATCATTGGCACAATCCTCTGGCCACAAATCCATCATTTCAATCGGCGGCGGGGGGTGGCGTGGGGATGGGGGGTTGGTGGGGGGGGTTGGTAGGGGAGGTTGGGGGTTAATGGGGGGGGGGGTTGGTGGCGGGGGGGGGAGTCTCATCCTCTCTCACGCCGATTGGCTGGGAATGACCGCGCCCCTCCTGGATGTGGGAGGAGCCCGCCGTCAACCGCGCCCGCCCCCAATGGACCCACGTGGTGGTGCTGGGGGTTTCAGAGTGGAGCCCAAACAGCGGTGGACCCGGAGGGCGATAGCTCAGGACGCAGCTCCCCCCCGCACGACCTGTGTGTGTGTGTCTTGTCCTCAAGAGAACTCGCAAGGGGACGCGTGAGCCTCGCTTCGAGCGTGCTCGCCACCCCCCCCCCGTTGCGCGCGGCCACAGGTAAGAGTTGCCACTTTTCATTTGTGTTGTTTTACGGGGGAGTTTCATTGCCATGCGAATTGTTATGGAGGTAGAGTGCAGTTTTGCTGTGTGTGTGTGAATTCTCATGTTTGTTACGCTCGTTTCGCTCGTTTTCAACAGGGTCCTGCCGAGTGTATTTCTTTTTAGCAGCAAGGGGCAATGACTGATGTTTAAAGACTACCGTTTGCTTTTTTTCGCGGACAGTTTGGTTTTATTCTCCGAAACGTGGATCATCATCACGCAAGGCGCACGATGGACCTCTCTTGTGAGTGACGGCTCTGGATCTTGAACGGCCCCCACACCTTGACAAGCAAGTGGCTCATTTGAATTTGCAAGAAGCAGCAGCAGCATTAATCAGGGCGGGCCGCACGGAGCGAACCCGTGAAAACTTTTGCAACGGGCGGCGTAAATGCGAACCTGACTATAAATGATGTAATGTATTTTTTTATTTTCTACGTGACTTTACCGAAAGAACCAAGGAGTAATTCCTGCAGTCACGAAAGTTACAAATACAGTTATAAATTGGTACTCAGATTGTAAATGTTGTGGCTTGGCTCTCCAACACACCGGGTGTGCTGTACTCGTGACGAATTGGCCACGTTCTGTTTACGTGACAACCCTTACTCGTTGGCTGTGTCGGGTGGTGGCGGGTTTAACGACACATTTATATATTTACGCGATCCAACCCCCCCCCCCAAAAAAAAAAAACCTCTATTATGGTTCGTTGTGTGTATGCGCATTTGTACTGCACGGTATTTGTTGTGACTTTGTGTCGCAGTGGTTGACGATGCGTGTTCGGTCACCCTTGCAAATGCGACCCTGTCTGCCCATGGTCTCTGGAGTTGTGTCGCTGCTGGGTTCAACTTGAAACTTGAATTCGAGCTGTTATTCAGTCCACACCCTCCGTTGACTTGAATCTGGGAGGTGGGGAAGGGGGTTTGCCTTGGGCTGCTTGGGGGCGCCGTCACCTTTCGCTTGGTTCGCTCCCCTTCTATCACCGCCACGGCCACATCCCCCTCCCGTGAGTCCACTCAGCCGCTCGATCACTCACTCACTCACACGTGAGAGTTGTCACTTTGCGGTGTTCGCTGTAGGACTTGTTTTGACTTTAGGCGTGATGTCCTCGATCGCTGGTGGGGATACCAGCGGTGGTTAGCGACCAATTACGGTGACGGCTAATACTGGAACTGGTTCTGGACCCCCCACCCCCACCATAAACCCACCTAGGTCAACTTAGCCTCAAATGAGTACCGACCCTGCTGCGATGTGTATAACATTGATTGGCTCGGGACGGCCGCCAATGTTTGGCTAGCCATCGGACAAAGACGGTCAACTGCATGCGCTTATACGGCCGTCTGGAACGCTCTTCCCTCCGATATATTAGGAAGCCACTGGGAGCTATGCGCTTTGAAATAAAGTCTGAAAGCTAATTTCTTTTAGAACTGCTTATCGTGTTTAGTTTGTTGTCCTTCCCCGCCACTTCTATTAGCACGGTTGGATACGTACAGTGCGAAAGAAGTTCAACATGTTGTACATACAAACATCAGCACTGGGGAGAGAAAGGCGACCGGGCGTGGTATTGTCCGGTCTTTCCGGCCTTTATGGGCACTTTCCACAACCCTCTGCTCAATTCTGTACGGGGGATCTTTGTCTTTGTGTGGCAGTTCTTCCTGTGTGCCGTGCACTTTCCGTTGGGATTAAAAACAAATTTCACGGAATAATTTTCCGTCCCTCCTCCCGTGCTTCACCGCTTGCGATTATAATTATTAAATATTTTATAATAAATATTAAATAAAGCGTCTCCACTGCTTTGTCAAAGCGATGGTGCGCGTCCCCCGAGCCAAGTGGTGGGAATTCCGTATTGCACATTCCCTTGAGTGGCCTTCCCATAGAATAACCACTGGAGGGTTTTTTGTTGTTGTTGTTGTTGTGTTGATGAAATTGGTACTCGCTTTATCGACCCCGTCGGGAATGATGGGCAGTGTCGAACGGCAAGTGGGATTTGAATAGATAGATTTGTGAATCCACGCTATGCTCTATGCATATGGTCCTCAGTAATCCACATTCTCTGTCAAATAAAAAAACAGACTATATGCCCCCTGCTCATACCTGTCCCTCCGCCCAAAAAAAAGTATTTTACACATCCCATCAGCGTCACAGCCTTCACTGGGAGTGCATATATTGAGACCGGTTTTGACATTCAGTGCCTTATCAGCAGAGCCACGGCTGCCTGAGCCCGATTGTGCGCTATGAACAAAGTAATAATTTGTGCTTTGTTCACTAAAATCGCCCGAGTTAATGCAGCACTGATGTCCTTTTGGGCTCATTATTGTCACATTCGGGCCGCTTGAATGTGTGGGGTTGATCATTCACCAGAGTGATAATTAACCAAGCCACACTGCTCCGTAGACGTGCGTCGCACGCACAGTGACCTTCAGTCAATCCACTGCTGAATGAGGGCCTGTCGTGAGCCAAGGGCCAGCCCTGGTCTCTCTTCGCTGCCCTGACGGCAGTGGGGACCGCTCTGAACCGTGTCCCAAACTGCGCGGGTTCGTTGGGGGTGTGTGTGAACCACTGCACCACTCTCTCCCCACCCCCCTATTAAGTAGATATTACAAATTTTGTACACTAATAATATTAAATGTGCCGTATATTAACCAGGATGGTTTTTGTTTTGTTTTTAAAGCTGACATGCGTTGTTTGAAAATGCCACGGTAATCATTGACTTTTATCATCCGTCACTTTTTTGTCGCTCAGGGTTGGAGCGGCACACGAAGCTGACTTTCGTGAACGGATTAAACGACAGACGCCAGCTGAAGCCCCCATCGTCGTAGAAAGCCGGACCGCCACGTTTGATTTTACAAACGCGGACGATACGCTTTCGGTTTGGAAGGCCGCGGCGTGCCGAATTGACGTCGGCGGATTTGTTGAAATCGAAGGAGAAAAGGTTTCGGGAAGAACCGATCACCGCAGACCGCCGCGATTCATCTCTGCCCGCGACATTTGGCATTCCGCAAGCGAGGGAAGCCCGCGAGATGCCTGGGCGTTGGCGTGGAGCCGTACGACATGCCCACGGAGAGGACCACCGTTGAGACGTGCACGCTTCAGATCCGGAGCGTTGGCACCCACGCTGGTGGTGGCAGCCTTGGCTGCACGTGATAACGGAACCGGCGTTCTGTAATTGGCTCGTTGTACGATCGTACACCCCCCCCCCCCCCCCGCGTGCATGCGACAGTTTTACTGGGCCGTGGTTGTGCTCTCGAGAGTGGTGCAAAGCACAGAGGACCCACACTTGGACATCGTAGCCAGCTGGGTACAGGTGGCAGCCCACGGCAAAACTCGAACGTAGACCCAGGCGTCTCGTGTCAGCGTGGCGTCGAGAGGATCCGCGTATCCATCACCAGCGGCCGTGCTGATTCTACTTACCCCTAACCACCTGCTGGTGCGGCAGAGGTAGCTGCTGTGAGTGGCTAAGTTAACGATAAACTTTAATAATAAAATCACTGGGGGGGGGGGGGGGGCACTGAATAAAGTGGCTACAAACTCCAACCCGAGCTGCAGAAAATACAGGTCCGTCTACGCCAGCTTAAATTGTCAGACGATTAACTTCATGATTCACTTTATCTCTCAATTGGCTTTGAACAAAAGCGGTCGAATGCGGCGTGACAAACGGATTTAACTGGAGGAGTTCTGAAGCTCTCTGCTGGGTCTGCCGTGCCTTGTAAAACAAAAAAAAACGTAAATCATAACAAGGAGCGTAAAAATATTTATTTCGTAGAATTTTTTCTTTTCTTTCATCGAGCCTGCACGAAAGGCCACCGCCGTCGGCTTCATGAACAGCGCCGCCGAGTGGAAGCCGGCGTCGCCACGCACGCCCGACGAGCGATGAAGAGGCGGAGGTCGCCGCTCGGGATGTCCCTGGCGACGGGCCACCTAGCCTGGTACGCGACGGCTCTGCCGCTGCCACTGCTGCTCCTGCTGCCGCTGCTGCTGCCGCCGGTTCGCGTCGCCTGCCAGGACCCGGCGGGCGCCGGCGTTGGCGCCGGGAGGCCCCCGGGGCGGTACGACGCGGCGGCCCTCGGCGGCCTGGGGGCGGCTCGCGCCGAGGACGACGCCTTGGAGCTGTCCTCCGGCGTTGGCGCGCGGCGCTGCGAGCCCATCCGTGCGGCGCTCTGCCAGGGCCTGGGCTACAACGCGACTCGCGTGCCCAATCCCCTGGGGCACGAGAGCCAGGCGGACGCGGAGCTCCAGCTGCAGACTTTCACCCCCCTGGTGCAGTACGGCTGCTCCGCGCAGCTCCAGGTGAGCGACTGGCGGTGGCGGCGGCGCCGTGGCGGTGCTGCTGCTGTCGCGGTGCTGCGGAGGTGGCGCGGTGATGGTGCGGTTGTGGCGCGGTGGTGCTGCGGTGGTGGCGGTGGCGCCGCGTCACGATCGTGTTCACGAGTCAAAGTGATTTCCTTCCGAGTCATTGGCTTACAGCCTCGAGCCACTGCTTCAAATGTTACATCCCGGCGGCAGGGGCGAGCCCATCCATAGCACGACCTCTGTTGACTTACCCACAAAGTGGAACTAAATTTATTGACCAAGGAGAGATGATGGGCTGAGTCAACCCCCTCCCGCGCCCCCCTCAATAAGAATACGAACTCGTGATTGCAAGTCGCTCGCTCTTCCCACCTTGCCAGCTAGCGACGGCGGTTGGTCGTGACACCGTCTCGGCTCAAGCCAAAGCCTCGTGAAGCTTGCGGCCTACAGGCCCGGGCCTGGTCTAGGACTTCAAATCCATGATTACAAAATCTCCAGTGTGCGCCTTGTCAATTCCCCTTGTGTTTATATATGAAGGCTTTGCACAAATACACAGCTGGTAATGTTGAATCCTTTACAGCCCGGTGGATGTTTGGTTTTGTTCAGCTCCACGGCCATCGGTCATCTTTGTGTTCATCGCAACCCCCGCCACGTTCATCGTCGCTGCGTCTGCATCTGTGCTTGGGCCGTTCTCCGCCCTCTGTCCGAGACATGCTGCCAAATGAACGCAGCTCACTCTGATCGTCTTCTCTCTCTGTACTTGCCTCAAGGGGAGAACTTGGATATCTGATTCATTTAAGTAAGTAATCGATTACTCAGCTGATTGGATAAGTCATAATAGAATCCTGCGATAGGCCACGTAATAATCTGGCCTAATTTAGGCCGTAAGACCCTCCAACACCCGACAAAATGCACAAAACGTCAAATTGTAACGTGGTGTACAAGCGTTTAGGGCGGGCAATTGTTATTGTCTCACATCACCGGGAAAAGTGGAAGAACGACCCAAGCAAACCTTAAACGCGAGTAGCCAGTGCGGTGCACGTATAAAACATCAGCGTTGGGGAGACGAAGGGGGCCGGGCGTGGCGGTGCCGGCCCACCTGATCGGCCCTCTCTCCGTGCCACGGACGGCCTTCAATCAGTCGCTTCTCGTGCGTCCGACGAAAACGCTTTCTTTGATTGGTCCACACCCGAGACAGCTTTTCTTCGAGCCTAGTCTACATTGGTGTTGGACCAGAAGACGCCAAAAAGCTTTTCTTCGAGCCTAGTCTCCATTGGTGTTGGACCAGAAGACGCCAAAAGGCAATGGAGACTAGGCTCGAAGAAAAGCTGTCTCGCGTGTGGACCAATCAAATTCAGGAAAACGCTTTCGTCGAAAGGCTAACTCGGCGGACCTCCCTCCCGTCTGTCGCGCGCCGGCAGTTCTTCCTCTGCGCCGTCCACTTCCCGCTGTGCGCCGAGGCCGTGCCGGAGCCGATCGGGCCGTGCGCCGGCATGTGCCGCGCGGTGCGCCGCCGCTGCGAGCCCGTGCTCGTCGACTTCCAGTACGCGTGGCCGCCGGCGCTCGCCTGCGACCGCTTCCCCACGCACAACGAGCCCGAGCACATGTGCATGGAGGGCCCCGCCGAGGAGGAGGACGAGGAGGGGGGCGAGCAGCGGGGCGACGCCGCCGCCGGCAAGGATGGGACCGCGGGGGCCAAGGGGAACGGCGCCGGCAGGGTGAGGTCACGCGACAGTGGGGGCGGTGGTGGCGGTGGTGTCGGTGGCGGTGTCGGTAGCGGTGGTGGCGGTGGTGGTGGTGGCGGTGTTGGGAGTGGTGGTGGTGGTGGCAATGGTGGTGAACCGGTACTGGGCCTCCCCTAGGTTGACTCAGCATTAAATGAGTACTTGGTGCGGTTGTGTAAACATCGTCACTTGGGAGACAAAGGCGGCCGGGCGTGGTGTTAGCCACCCGCCCCCTCGTGTGCCGTGCCAGCCTTAATAGGTGCCACTCGCTAACAGCACTTGCCTCAACAGCCTGTTAAGGCTACACGGGGGATCTTTGTATTTGGTGGTGGTGGCTTCACGTTGTTTGTGTGACGCCGTGATTGACGATGGGGCGAGCGATTCTCTCCCACGACAAATTGTCGCGGATTAGCCGTCATGATTTGAGAATCTTGATTGACAACGGGATACCCAATCATCCCTCCCACTGGTACGATGGGTTTTCGGGTTCTACCCCTCCCCCCCCCCCCTCGTGTTAAAGGCATGAATATAGCGAGGTTTGAGGCGTGGCTGGGAATCTTAGTGGGCTCGCCAGGTTCGTAAGCACAGTGCACTATCCACTGCAGTGCATTGCAGCTCACAAGTGACAGAGCTCATGATTAATGTCAGGTGGCCCACTTCAAACACCGCCAACAGCAGCAGCAGCAGCAGCCAGCGACACTCTATCATTGAGGGAGTGCTTGAGCTGCTCAGTTCAGTTGCTGAAGAAGCTCCCGGCACGTGTAGCGAAACGCCGGACATCGTGCTGAACAGCACGCGGCGCGACCCGGCAACGCATCGGAGAGAGTGCAGCCGCGAAAACCTCCTTCTTGTTTCTGCCGTTCCACATCGTGAATAAATGTCTCTTTTTTTCATTCATCCCAATCGGCCGCACCGGCTTCTGCGAGTGATTGCATCAGCAGCATTCGCTTGAGGACCCGTATCTAACAGAGAGGGTTCTAAATGCCAACAAAGGCCCTTTTTAAGGGCCGGAAACAGGACCCACGTCTGCATGTATGTACGTTGAACTTCTTTCGCTACGAATGTAGCCAAGCGTGCTAATCGGTTGGCTACGTACGGTAAGAGGAGCCCTGCCCTCTAAACACATGGCAGTTCACCAGCATTGGCTTTGACCAAGCCTGACATGCTGAAGGGACAATAAATGTCAAAATCCGGTGCGCACTTTGCTCGTATGAATACTTGCCGAACAAAAACATTTCGCCCAGAAGGACGTGCGGCTGATGGGATGTGTCAAATAAAAAGCGCTTGTATTTTTGTTTGCCGCGAACACATGTACAGCAAGCGGGCAGTGAGAGCTGGCGGTAGTGGGAAGCCTCCTTCCCGGTTTATAATTAACCCAGGTGGCTGCCGTGGCTCAGGTTTTACATTCCCATTTATAGGTCATGCATTGCACGCTAGTGGTTGTACGTTGATTATTCCAGGTTAGCCGTTAGATATGTGCAGTGTAAGTGAAACACATGAACACTCGCACACCACAAGGTTCATTATAGAGTCTCCATCAATCCATCCTTTCTCACCGACCAGTGGCGTACGAGCTTCAGCAGACCCAAATCGACTCCGAATACGTTCCACGGCGACCTGCTGCCGTACCCGCGTGTCAAACTCGCGCGGTTTTGGGGGTCTCTCGCCCAAAGACGCTGGAACACGCCACGGGGCTCACGTTCGGGATCCGTCCCCGAGTCTGAGACAGTTCTGCAACAGACTAAAAAAAAAAAACGGTGTTGCTGTTGTTTCAGAGAGCCTCCTTCGATGTGTGATCAACAATAATAATAATTTACATTTACTTGTTAGGCGCCTTCCACTAACGTCTCAAGGTGCCTTGTAAGAATAAGGAAAGGCCAAGAGAGACGGAGAAGCTAAGTAGAATAAAACTGACTCAAGAAGATGTGCTTTTAAGACGAGACTTAAAAGTATCCACATTATCGGATAAACTAATTTCTAACTGGACTCATAAGAGTGCACAATAACCAATGTTTTATTTATACTTCACCATAACACCGAGTGTGCTTTGCATGGACAAATATGCCAGGTTTTTTTTATATTTACCAAAAAATCCACCAAATCTGAACCCAGATACCAAATTTCGGACGATCTGAATTTAGATTTTTTTCAGATTGACCCAGAAGTTTGACCTCTGGACTCCGCGTGGGGTCTGGTGACGTCACCGTTGTGAGCACAAAGGGACGTGAAAAATGTGAATCGTGGTTAAAACCCGAAAAAAAGAACCAATATTGCGTCCTGATATTTTTGTCCTAGACCGCACAGGTGGCAACCCAAGCAGTCACCCGTGATTTAAATCCTCGTAGTGATTTGAGGGTGTCAGCCCAGTCATCAATGACTGCACAAGAAATCGTGCTTTTAAAACAAAAACTATTGCCAATAGATTGTTTGGCTCCTTGCAGCTCTGAGAATGATTGACGTGCGATGATGAACACTTGTCTGCGCAGAATATATCCGGGTTAACTTGGCGTTGGCTCATAGCCTCAGCTGTGGCTCGCGGCTTCACTTTGGGCCATTCTACTCAGGAGCTTGATGCCAATTTCAAGGTCTGCTAGCTCTGACGAGAGGGCTTCAGGGACATTAAAATACTGGATGTGAGGCATTATGAAATATCATAGTAAACCAGCAAACTATATATGTAAAAGTATTTAGTCAGGGTTATTTATACATGACATATTGCTTGTCAACACGAAGCAAACATAACCATCGAAATAGGCCTCAAAATAAATCCTCTGGTATGCAGTTTAATTAAACTGTGAAGGCTCTCTCATGGACACAACCACTACAAACTATTTTTTAACCTAGGCTGTTCTTTTAAAAACAAGTACGTAAGCGTATAAATTATTACACAGAGGCAATTCAAACGTACGGAGACAGCCCAAAGCTTGCAGGTGTGTGTTTGAAAACATTTTACAATTTGCTATTCTATTCATGCGTACGGCAGCGACGTGTTCAGAAACGAGATGCCTTTGTCAAGGTCTGCTGCTAGCCACGACGAGAGGGAGAGAGTTTGCGTAGTTTTTGCTGTTACCTCCTTCATTGCAGGAGTGCAGGCCATAGTGGTTTGCTATACGGTCCGTAGTTTGTGTTGCATGGCCACAATCGTACAACTGCGGTTTGACTTTCATATTCTATTGTGCACATCGGCTGTTGATGTTCTGATGCGGTTGATCATTGTTCCACCAGTGTCTTCGAGGAGGAATGTCAAAGCCAGGATGTGCGATGTTTGGGTCTCGAATTAGGTGTTTATTCGGCACATCAACTTTCTTCCGCTCCGTTTGCCGGTGTTCTTCCGGCTGTGGGTGAGAATCTAGAAGTCTGGTCTACAATTCATTATTCGAATAACTTTTAAAATCATCGATTATTTACATTTTTGTGGTTACGTTCACAAGGGAGTGAAGTGGTATGGAGTTAGAAGTTCAGCGACCTGGACACTACCAAGGTCAAGAGGTCATCGCGTCCATTACAAAGTGACAATTCACAGACGTTTTTCAATCCTCTGCTGGATGAACGTTTTCCCCACACGATGTCGATCGTGGATGTTTGACCATTCTTAACCACGCTGGTCGGCGCAAGTGCCCGTCTCTGTCACCTGCTCCCCTCCTCCACCCTGCACCACGTGTCCCACCCATAATCTCCTCCTCTTCCCTCCTTTCTCCCCCCGCCCCCCCCCCCCCCCCCCATGGACAGTGTTCTCCCATCAGATGCACACATCTGCAATGTGTTCTTGGCTCTTGTGAAGCTCCGATCCCAACACGCAACTCGCTTAGCCCGTTCCTTGGATAGCCCAAGTTAAATGGTCAAGGTTCCACCTCCCGTTCAGACCAGCAGTGGGGTGACGATCATCGGCAGAGGTTGTCCTGAGCGAGTGTAGTGTAAATTCCCCATTCTCATGGCGGAGGCCAGTCTTGCCACAGGGATGACCACTTTAACACGTTGGGTTCAAGTAAGACGTGCGTCGTAAACCCTCCTCCACCCGGCACGGCCAACCGTTACGATTGATTTTGGCAGTTGCCACGAATTTTTTGCAACTGCCTGATGATGCTGGTTGCGACTACAAGCGAAGTCATCCATGTGGTATGGATCGCTCTCTTCAAAGCAGCACTTACAGTGGTGCTGTTTGAGGCAGCGATAAATTGGCCCCGTTTTGTCCGCGTGACAACTTCATTAATTGGGCTGTGTCGGGTAGATGGGGGTTTTACGACACACACATTACTCACGCCATCTAACGCGAACATCTATTTTGAAGGGTGACCCACTGCTGCCTCCCTAAAATTAGGTACTTATTTTATTGAGTCCAAAAGAACGATGGGCTGAAACCACCGGGATTTGAGCTTGCACCCTTGTTGACTGTGACTCAGGCGCTGTTGTGTTTAGTGCCGGCTGTAGCCCATACTGGCAGCTGAAGGGGAGCCTATGACAGGGTGAAGACTCGCACCTCTGGAATTTGGTCCCCAGCTGCAAAGGCCCAGCCCAGACCCAGAACAAGCTCTGTACCAGAAATCACACAGGGCCCATTCTGTCCTCGCGCACGATGGCAGCGCCAGTGTGTTCAGGAGCTAAGTGCCAATGTCGAGGTCTGCTGGCCATGACGAGAGGGCTTCTCTCGTCATGGCCATCTTCTCAAAGCCCACCCATGTTGTCGTGTTACCTTAAACACAACTAATACTGTACTATTATCTAGGCGCCATCGGTGGCGAGATGTTAACTCCCTCGCTCGGTATGCAGGAGGTCGTGCATTCGATCCCGACCCTGATGCCTGCTGTGTCTCTCTGCCCGTGGTCACGTACATTTTTCCTCTGGGTCCTCCGGTTTTTCCCTCTATATTTAGAATCGACACGCGTTTAGACTATTTGGCTGCTATAAATTTCCACACCACTTCATTGAGCTATCATTTGTGATAGCAAGGTGGCTTCTGAAAAGAGCTAGATAAGCTCAGTGGGCCTTACCTGGTAAAATAAAGGAAAAAAATAGTCGAGTTGAGTAAATGGAGGTCGTTTAAAAACAAAAGGCCCTTTTAAAGGGCCGAAAGCAGGGCCTTGCCTAACAGAGCGGGGGTCCTCACCTACGAAGGTTTTCGCAGGTCACCAGTGTCTGGTCCAAGCGAGCCCGCCTCTGCTGAATGAGACGCTGAGTGTCAAAACCCATTCCAGACTCCTTGCTCGTGTTCAAGCGAAGCTGCTGAATTGTATGCAGTCCTGCAAGGCTTTGCCGGCTGATGGAATGTGTAAACACGTAGATTTTTACGCGGAGGGATAGGTATGTGAAGGGGCCGTTATCTTCCTCTGAGTTACGTTGTTACTTTTTTCCTCCAGAGACATGCTATATACACCAGGCTCAGGCTATTTGAATAGAAATACAGTAAGATTGAGGTGGTTAAAAATGAATATATTTTTGTTATCTAAAGATCACTGCAAAATGTTAATTATTATTTATCCGTGTATCTTTGTTACACACAAATTGCACAATTCCCCCCCCCCCCCCATAGTGAAAAGGGATAACAAGATGACAGATAACAGGTTGACAGATAACAGGCTGACATTTAACAGGATTACAGATAACAGGATTACGGATAAGAAGATGACAGATAAGATGACGGATAACAGGATTACGAATCAATGCTGGTGCGGTGCCAAATATCTATAGGCAAGGGGACGCTCTCCTTAAGCTCCTTAAGCTCTGATCGTAGTCAACCTTTGGTGACCCCTGGCTCTCCCTCTGGTGACCCCTGGCTCTCCCTCTGGTGACTTCTGGCTCTCCCTCTGGTGACCCCTGACTATCTTTGTGGTGACCCCTGGTTATCCCTGTGGTGACCCCTGGCTCTCCCTCTGGTGACCCCTGGCTCTCCCTCTGGTGACCCATGGCTCTCCCTCTGGTGACCCCTGACTATCCTTGTGGTGACCCCTGGTTATCCCTGTGGTGACCCCTGGTTATCCCTGTGGTGACCCCTGATTATCCCTGTGGTGACCCCTGGCTCTCCCTCTGGTGACCCCTGGCTCTCCCTCTGGTGACCCCTGACTATCCTTGTGGTGACCCCTGGTTATCCCTGTGGTGACTCCTGGCTCTCCCTCTGGTGACCCCTGGCTCTCCCTCTGGTGACCCCTGGCTCTCCCTCTGGTGACCCCTGGCTATCCTTGTGGTGACCCCTGGCTATCCCTGTGGTGACCCCTGGCTCTCCCTCTGGTGACCCCTGGCTCTCCCTCTGGTGACTCCTGGCTCTCCCTCTGGTGACCCCTGGCTCTCCCTCTGGTGACCCCTGGCTATTCCTCTGGTGACCCCTGGCTCTTCCTCTGGTGACCCCTGGCTCTCCCTCCGGTAACCCCTGGCTCTCCCTCTGGTGACCCCTGGCTCTCCCTCTGGTGACCCCTGACTATCCTTGTGGTGACCCCTGGCTATCCCTGTGGTGACCCCTGGCTCTCCCTCCGGTGACCCCTGGCTCTCCCTCCGGTGACTCCCCCCCCCCCTCCCCCACCACTACCCGGCTCCTCCCCCGCAGTCGCCCGGCGGCCTGGACTCGAGCTGCCACTCGACTGGGGGCCTGCTGCACCCCGACCGCTTCGTGTTCGTGCAGCGCTTGGGCGCGTGCGTCCCCCGCTGCGCTCCGGCCACGCCGGGTCCCCGCGCCGCCTTCCTCGAGGCGTGGATGGGCGCGTGGGCTGCGGCGGCGCTGCTCGCGTCCGTCGCGGTCGCCGCCACCTTCCTCATGGAGCCGGCGCGCTTCCCCTACCCGGAGCGGCCCGTGGGCTTCTTCGCGGCGAGCCACGCGGTGCACGCGGCGGCCTACGTGGCGAGGCTCGCGCTCGGCCACGAGCGGGTGGCGTGCGACGCCGCGGTGAGCCACGGCTCCCCTCCCACCTCCCGCCGTGCCGTGCACCGGCTCGTCGGCGGTTTGACCCAGGGGGGTCGGAAACCGAAATGACGAAGAAGAGAGACATTTTGTTTCGAATTTTGTTAAAAAGAAACCAACTCAATATTTCAAGAGCCGCCGCAATGCGCGTGAATACGAGGCGGTGGTCCTTAATAAATAACGTCACGGAGCAGCCCTTCAAGAGACGCGTGCGGCTCTGGAGCAGCAGGTTGCCGACCCCTGGGTTTACCACTACCTCTGTCCATCTGTCCGTCCCTCTGTCTGTTTAGGTTAGGGGAGCTCAGCAAAAATTAGTTGCAAAGCCTACGTTTCCGGGGGAGGCTTCCCAAAGCTGCCACCACCAAAACACCTCCAAACAAGCTGATGTCATCGCTCTAGTTCTGCAGTTTGTTAAATGGTCTTGAGCCTCACCTAGGTTGACTTGGCCTTCAAATAAGTACCTGGTGCAGTGTAAAAAAAAACATCAGCACTGGGGAGACGAAGGCAGCCAGGCGTGGTGCTGGCCACCGACCCCCCCTTGTGCCGTGCCGGCCTTCATAGGTGCTCGCTAACAGCACTTTCCCTAAAGTCTGTTGCGGGCTATACGGCAAGGATATGTTAATCTTCTACTCAGCCCTTAGGAACTGCTGAGCCCCAGAGCGACGTGGTGACCACCTCGGTGACAACGACGGTGACGACTTTGTCCCTCTTGCTGTGTCCCGGCTTGCAGGGGAGTGACCTCTTCATCACGCAGGACGGCCTCAGTAACTCGGCGTGTGCGGGCCTCTTCCTCGCCATCTTCTACTCCTCCATGACTGGAGCAGCTTGGTGGACGATAACAGGTGACAGCCACGGCAATCTGGAGCCACTGCATTCACCGAGGCCTATACACCGAGGCCTGTAAACCGAGGCCTATAAACCGAGGCCTGTAAACCGAGCCCTGTATACCGAGGCCTGTAAGCCGAGCCCTGTAAACCGAGGCCTATACACCGAGGCCTGTAAACTGAGGCCTGTAAACTGAGGCCTGTAAACCGAGGCCTGTAAACCGAGGTCTGTAAACCGAGGCCTGTAAACCGAGGCCTGTAAACCGAGGCCTCCCACTGACGTCTTCTCCACGGCCGAGCATCCCAGCCTGGGTGAGGCTTAACTCATTCGGGGCGGTGATGCTGCCTTTGCGGTCGGTGCGTTCACCGCTTGTCTGCAGAGGTTCATAGTTCGGATCCCGGCAGACTGCCCTGGTTAATACTGCGATGTGTTTTAACTGTAAAAATACAAAGCGCTGTCTAATCATTCACAGTGGACCTTAAAAATCCTGTGACGTCATTTTGAAAATAGTAAGCCACTGTGTGCCCAGCGCTGTGGTCCAAATGAAAGATTACTTGGGAATTACTGAATTGAGATTACACACAGCGACAACATCGCCCCCCGACAGCGAGACAACTGCACTTAACCCTTTGCGAGTTGCAGGGTGACGTTCCGATGACGTACGTTATTATTCATCTTCAAGGGTGGAATGTGAGGCTGCGTGGCCCAGCAGTTGAGTGAGCGGCTCACCCGTTGGGAGTTCGCACCCGCTGAAGAAGCTCCCAGCACAGTGGAGGCGAAACGTCGGACATCGTGCCGAACAAACATCCCGAAAGCCTATCGAGTGGGTGCAATCTGGTGAACTCGGTGTCGCCGATGCGGTACCTAGCAACGTGGGTAGTATCGTTGACCTTACGTCTCACGGGCGTAGTGATGCTCCACGGTGAGGAGGCGGCGGGGAGACGCGCCGGGCGGCGCGGTGACGCGCGGCAACGTCGACCGCCTAACAACCCAAACGGCTCCCGCTGCAGGTCTCTCCTGGTTCCTGTCGGCGGGCCTCAAGTGGGGCCCCGAGGCCGTGGCTCAGCGAGCTGCGCTCTTCCACGCGGCGGCCTGGGCCCTGCCGGCGCTGCAGGCCGCAGGGGTGCTGGCGGCGCGCGCCGTGCGGGCCGATGCCCTCACCGGCACCTGCCGGGTCCGCACGGACAGCCTCGGGGTCCTTGCCGGCCTGGTGTTGGCACCGCTGGCCCTGTACCTCATCGCGGGCGCCGTCTTCATGGGTACGGTAAACGCTTTGTGTGTATAACTGTGGGGGGTGGGGTCCCGGTGGCTACGTCCACATGGCCCAGCGTGGTGAAGTATGGTCAAACAAAAACCCACGTGATGGATTGCGGCGGATAGAATGCCTTCGTGCAGCAGTGGGTTTACAAAGGCCGGTAACATTGTGAGTCGCATTTAGATGAAGTATAAATAAGAAGAGGCTTTTATGAAACGATTTCTTTGCTGACTAGATAAGCAAAGGTAAAGGTGCAGCCCGACAACTGTTTGCTCACGCCACTGCCTACTCTTCCACGCCAAGCAGGTGTCTTGTGATTCACAGTCAGAATCTTTATTTACACTGCAGCAGGAATCCGATGAGCTGTGAAGCTCTTTTTCACAGATGTCTAGGAGGAGCACGGGCTCAGAAATTCACAACAACAAGCAGTTACAAAAACACGATAGGAGTGCAAAGTATAGGAAAAGCTAAGCGAGTCACTAAATATGAATAAAAAGTATGTAGGTACAAATTACATAAATACATCAATTCTGCACCTCCGATCGGCACTGTTGGCTATGTATGGTGCGGTTCAACATGCATACAATTGGTGTCGATTTTTCATAATGGCTCTGTCGAGGTCAATGAGTCGGCAACCCTGTAGCTCCTTCCCACTGGCACATCGAAACCTCGCTCGTGTGGCGCCCTCGTGGTTGTGGGTGGATCTCCGTGGGCCATTTGGGGCGAGCCGAGCCAGAGAACAACCGAACCTTGAAACTCCGGCCTCACAAGAGGCCAGAAGCCTCGCACTTCCTGAGCAGGCGTGCCCGGTCGGCTCTTTACCACCCCCGGGGAGCAGCTCGCTTGCACGGTGTGAAAATCTGCGTTCGGTACCGGATTCAAGTTTTTGGGGGTTGCGTGTCTCTCTCGGGTGATTCATAATGGCCTTGGCAGAGACATTGAACCAGAGCAGCTGAGATCCTGGATATGAATTGGGTGCCGTGGTGGCGAAATGTTAACTACCTCGCCTGGTATACGGGAGGTCGTGGGTTCGATCCCGACCCTGACCCCCGTTGTATATTTGGAGGTTGTTTGTCTCTCTCCACGTGGTCGCGTGGATTTTTTTCTGGGTCCTTCGGTTTTTTCCCTCCACAATTAGAATCAACATCACGCATTTAGAGTATTTGGCTGCTATACATTCGCACGTGATTAAGCCACTTTGTTGAGCCACCATTTGTGGCCAGGTTGCTTCTGAAAAAGAGCTACATCACTCAGTGGGCCTTTCCTGGATGTTAAAGTTTAGTTTTACAATCCAGGCCGCAACCACCCATGGCTTAGCCACCAGGCTTTCGGTTGTTGTGAGCTTTATGTTCTCAGCTTGGCCACCAACGACCACACGAAATAAACCGGAGTATTTATTCTATTCAGTTTCGGCCAAGCTCAGTGTGCACGCACAGTTGACACGAGGTGAGCCGGTCCTCTTGTTGTTTCCAACGGCACTCCGAGATTCATTGCACGTAAGCGCCATAAAAAAACACAAGCCCCACTTGCTCTTAATTGCCGGGTGAGTCGAGGCCACTGAGCAGGCATGGAGTAAAATCACTTTGCTCGCTTCCGATACGCACGCAACGATTGGTACGGCATAAGAATGAATTATTGACAATCGAGTCAATGATTTCAAAGTGCGAGTTTTCGTTTCCTCCAGGTCAATAGAGAGGGCTAGAGAGACTACCAACGGGGCAGTAGAAACGAGACGGGGAACTAAAGGTGAGGCCTGCGAGAAACAGGAGAGGCCGGATGGGGAACACACCGGGCGCACGAGATGGAGAACACAAACTGGGCGGACGAAAGCGAGAATCGAACTCTTGCATCGAAACGCGGTCCTAGATCGTGACGGTTCCGCGGGCTGGCAGGGAGAGGCAGTGGGAGTCACACTGTGATGCACACCCCGGGGCCCAGAGACTCCCTAACTAAGCCAGGGGTGGGGGGTGGGGGGGGGAACCTTCGTCCTTTGCTCAAGAAGCAGCACCGCGTACGCCTCCTTCCCATAAGAATGTCTCTCAGCGCAACAGAATATATACGAAAGTAATTTTTGCACATCCCATCAGCCCCCCACACGGCCTTGTGGGAGTGCATCATTTGACGTTAAAAAAATGGTTTTTAATTGATCTGGCTCAGCCCAGTTCTTAGAACGCCGTTATTTAGAATAGTCGGTGAAGTTAAGTTTACTGTGTTTAACCGGGTGACAACCCCCGTCTTTTCGCAACGATGGCCACTGGACAGCATTGTGAGATGCAGCAGTAGATGATGTCAGGGTCCGAGAGGTCCACAGGATTTGTCCTGAGGTGTCATCATCATCTTCTGGAGTCACCGTCTGTGTCTCCAAGTTGCGGCTGGTTTCCTACAGTGTGAGTTTCTAATAGCAACACAACTCTGATAGCAACGCAACTCTGATAGCAACGCAACTCTGATAGCAACGCAACTCTGATAGCAACGCAACTCTGATAGCAACGCAACTCTGATAGCAACGCAACTCTGACAGCAACGCAACTCTGATACCAACGCAACTCTGGTAGCAACACAACTCTGTACTGCAGGATCCCTTCGTATTCAGTGGTCTTTGCAAGAGTTACCATACACACAGACAGACAGACGGATGGATGTACAGGTGAACGGATGGACAGACAGAAGGATGGACAGGCAGACAGATGGAAGCACAAATGAACAGGTAGACGGATAGATGGGCGGACAGAACGACGGACGAACGGATAGTCACGCGACTGCATCTCGTCGGTTCGCCACTGACTGCCTAACAACGCCGCCGCCTCCTCCGCCGTCCCACGCAGGCGCCAGCATCGTGTCGCTGACCCGCATTCGGGCCGAGCTGCGTCGCGACGGGCGCAAGCAGGAGAAGCACGAGCGTCTCACGGGCAAGCTGAGCGCCTTCGCCGTGCTCTCGGGCGCCCTGCAGGCCGCCTGGCTTGCCTGCCTCGCCCGCGACCTGCTGCTGCCCCCGGGCGACCTCCGCTACGGCGGCGCGGAGGAGGAGGAGGAGGACGAGGAGGAGCGGGAGGAGGCGGTGGCGGCCGTGGCGCTGGCGTGCCTGCGGATCGCGGCGTCGCTCTTGCCGGCCGTCGTCTCCGTGCTGTGGGTGTCGTCGGGCAAGACGGCGCGCGCCTGGGGGCGCTGCCTGGCGGCCGCCGCCGCCGTCCCGCAGGGCCGCGGCGGGAGGGGCCCGGCGGCGAGGGATGGGTGGGTGAAGCCCGGCGCGGGGGAGACCGCCGTGTGATGCCCGCCCGCCCGCCCGCCCGCCCGCTCGTCCGCCGGGATAGTCCCGCCAGAGCGAGAGGATGTGCCGCGGCGACCCGCTCAGTCGCCCGTCAAGCTTTGCACCGATTCCGGACGGGACGGGTAACTCTGTTTTCCGGACTCAAGTAATGGGGGGAAGACGCCCGCTTGCAGGGCCGTCCCGAGGGTGCGGCGAGTCGCACCGGCCGCCCCGGACCCCGCGGCCCCGTATGGATGGCCCGTGCCTTGCTGCCTGGAACTGCTGCCAGCGCATGTACAGAAGTCGACCGTAAATAAAAAAAAAATGAGGCATGCAACTCTTTTTCGGAAGCGACCTGGCCACGAATGACCGCTCGACGAAGTGGCCTTATCACGTCGAAATTTCATCGCAGCCAAATACTCGAAACGCGTGGCGTCGATTCTGCACGCGGAGGGAAACACCGGAGGACCCGGGAGAAAAATCCACACGACCACAGGGAGAGAGACACGCAAACTCCCAAAATGCGATATCGGATATAAAAACTCCGATATAAATTATTCCGACGAAGTTTCACCGACAGTTCCCCGATCTTCACGGGAGTGGAAGGCGCGCTTCGTGCTCGGCGCTTGGTTCTCAGTGCTCCGTGCTCAGCGCGTGTCGTTCGCAGCGCTCGCGGCTCCGCAGGCGGAGGAGCTTCTGCGTCCATGGAGCGTTCCGCAAAAAAACGCTCAACTCGGTGAACGTATCAACGCCATCAATTAAATCTTCAATAGCGCTTGCAATGGTGAGACTTTTGGGCCGGTGCTGAGCAATGGCGATTTAAAATAGAAATGATAATAACAGATTCTTCCCCTCGACGGCCCACCGATTATGCCACCGCAACAACGCGCACCTTCCGTGAGCGTGGATGCACTGTAAACGTTTGCCCGCTCTGCCATCGATTGCCCAACCGAGCCGGTGATTCGAGACTTGTTTCGCCCCCAAGGCTTTTCCGGGCGTCCTTGAACTCGCGACCGCTGTGTCGAAAGCCATCACGCGTGGCGCCGTTACGACGACCGTGGCTCCAGCTCTGCAGAGTGCCCCATTAGGCCCAGCGGGGTCCACCCTTCACCCATGGCTGAGCTGCGTAAAATAAAAGCCACCGCGTGGGGTTTTTCGCGCTCGCACTGCGCGGAACTCTGCGACCGCGCGCTCTCAAGTTGTTGCCGCGCTTCGTTCGCCACGACGTCCCGACGTCTCGTTCCGCGTCCTGCCTGGCGGGAGCCTCTCCAGGAAGCGAACGGGGCAGCTCGCGTTATCCCTCGTGTCCAGCAGCGGCTGGCAATGGCTGTACCAGCACGTGGAGCGGAAACGTCGGACGTCGTGCCGAACGGCGCTCGGTACGGTCCGGAAAACCCCCCGGGAGATGGTGATGAAAGCGTTCGCAATGCCACACTGTGAATTCTCAACGTCGCGTCGAAGTAAAGCCGGCGAAAATAAACGTTCCAGCAAATAAACGTAACTGGAGTTGCCGTTGGTTTTCACACCTGATGATGGCTGCTGGTGTTGCAGTCGAAAACGTCGTGAGAATTTTATTGTTTTAAATATTTTATTATTTTATTGTTTCCCTTCAACGTGACTTTACCGAAAGAACCAAGAATGTGGAGTTGAAAGGTTTATTTTTGTTTATTTTTCTTCGCGCGTAGGTTAACTTCTTCTTACATTTTTTGCGTCGACTCAAACATTAATCAATTCGACCGTTCAACCTCCTCGAGAGCGCGCCTGAGCGGCGCGCTCGCGCGCTCGTTCTTGGGGCGCGCTGCGTGCGGAGCGGCGACGACACGCGGTGCCTTGCGCACGACGGCCCTGGCGAAACCTCGGGTTCGATATCCGTCCGAGCGCCATCGTCAGCGGTACGTCAATATCCGAAACTGTCCCGGCCTTCCCCTGGACCGACTCGGCCTCGAGCGAGTGCCTGGCGCACGAAGCGAGACAGAGCGGGGCTCCGCGTGGCGCTGGCCGCATTGCCATCCCGCCGCCGTGGCGCCTGGCGTGCCGGAGGTCGTGGGTTCGATCCAGACCCCGACGCCCGTGTCATCGGAGTTCGTGTGTCTCTTTCCCCTTGGTCGTGTGGATTTTTTTGCCATCCGTTTTTTTTCTCTCTCTCCACATTTAGAATAAACGTGCGTTTTTAAAGTATTTGGGCTGCTTTGAATTTCCACGTGATAAGCCACTTCGTTGAGTGATCATCTGTGGGCAGGTCGCCTCTGAAAAAGAGCTATATAGCTCAGTGGGACTTACGTGGTCAAATGTAAAAGTTTCGTTGAGTTGACCTTAATAGGTGCTCCCTAATAGCGCTTGCACCTTGTCTGTTTCCCCTCTAGCTCCCATCATGCTTTTCTTGTTTAGTTTTCCTTCCAGCACACCTCTGATTAGCACAGTTGGCTACGTACGGTGCAAAAGAAATCCATCGCACTGTAATACATACATCTTTATATGCTGTGTGCGTGGTGTACCCGAGTTCTAAACAACGCGTCCAGACGTTGCGTCTCCCACCCGAAGACGACACAAGTTACGCGCAGGCCTGGTCCGCCCGGCCGGCCGGACCTGACTGGCCACGGCACGACGGGGGGCGATCGTTTCACTTCTGCAGTTTATCCCCCGGGGAGGGGCGGGGCGGGGGAGCAGGAGGTCGGAGGGGACATGGGGCTGGAGCTCGTTAGGTAGAGGGCCGGCCTTCTCTGTCGTTCCCAAAGCGTTTCCCTTGCGAAGAGGAAACCGCTTTGGGGAAATTGGAACGCGCGCTTTGACGACTCTCCCCCTCATACCCCCCCACGCACCCCGTCCCCAACACGGCCCAACTCCCACCCCAGGGCCTTCGCTCCCCCTCTCCGGCGAGAGAGGTGGCTTGCCATGCCAGCGTACTGATAAAGAGAATGCAAATGTTATCATGTACAGCCCTTTGTCAATCCGCTGCTGGAGTGAAGGCCTACCCTGAAGCTTCGGAAACCAAAACAACAAGAAGAGCCAAAAAAAAATGTATTTGGTAAAAATGAAAAAATAAAAAGCCCTTCAAAATTTCAATAATCCGGCCACAATGCACTGTGTGGTGACTACGAGACGGTGGTAACGTCACGACGCGGTCCTTCAAGAGCCCCGTGGCCTACCCGCTCCGTGCCCGTCGTTGAGGTGGTTACGTGAGCCAGTGCTGGTTGGGGATCAGGGGACCCAGGACAGGCATGTATGCACGTTGACACGGTGGCGAGATGCTAACTACGTTGCCCAATATATGCCGGAGGCCGTGGGTTCGGTCCCGACCCTGACGCCTGTATATTTGGAGTTTGCATGGTCTCCCCGTGGTTGCATGGATTTTTCTCCTGGTCCTCGGTTTTTCCCCTCCACATTTAGAAGCATGCGTTTCCCGTATTTGGCTGCGATAAATTTCCACATGATAAGCCACTTCATTGAACCATTATTTTTGTCCAGGTCGCATCTGAAAAAGAGCTTTCGAGTTCGGTGGGTCTTACCTGGTAAAATAAAAAAAATAGTTTAGTTTCTTTCGCATCGTACAAAGCCAACCGCACTAATCGGTGGTACATATATCATCACTCGCCACTGAAGTTGGCCAACGCGAATCACTCGACCAACGCTTCGTCCCCAAACGGAGATATTTAACGACACGTACTGCCAAACATGGCTGGACGTGATTCTGTGAAACGATTAGCGAATAATTCGAACTGTACAAGAAGACATTTGTGCAAGCGTCTTGACCTTGTGTTCCTGCGGCTGGAATGCGTGACTCGCAGGGCAAAGGTCGCGAGTTAAAATCCCGGTCCAAAGTCGAGAAAAGTCAACGGTGGTTGTTCTTTTTTTGGTCACGACTCGATGCCAGCAACAGGCGCCCGAGGGCGAACCATGCAATCGGCGCCCCTCCCCCACTCCAAAACCCCAAGGGCAGATCTCGGCTGAGGTTTTTTGGTAAACTGGGAAACATTCGTCCCCTGTTTTGCGTTTGAAGTTTTTTTAAGCGTGTTTTTTTTTAAACAGAGGCGTAATTATTCGGTTCGTACGTCCATCTGTCCAACTAATAAATTATCAGAAATGTTGAGAAATGAATTACGATTCATATTCCCTCTACGCGCACAGGAATTGAAATAATGAAATCTTTTTTTTATTTGAAGCTTTCGTGACTGCAGGAATCCATACTCTTTGGTTCTTTCGGTAAAGTCACGTAGGTAGAAAAATAAAACAAAAAATAACATACTTGACTTTACCAAAAGATCCAAAGAGTAATTAAATCTTTATTTTATTTCTATATTTTTTATTTCAATTTTTTCCTCGAATTTGATGGCCCCCACTTAATTTTGCGCCCGAGCCAACCACCTCATTTGCCTATATAGACAGGCCACCCCCTGCATGAAATGTGGAATTTCCAACACTTGTGCGGAACTTAAAATGGACGTGAGCGACCGTCCCATGTTCCTTTGAGCAGTTAGCACCGTTTAAATGCGTACGAGTGTCAACGTAATGCTGTGGATAATTCGTAGGCCTTTTGTGGAATGCATTGCATTGGAAGGCTTGGTGCGCTGGTGATCGACAGACTCACCGCTGGTGTCTTACATGCCCTGGTTTAACTAGAGGATGTTTACAAAAACAAAACGATCATGAGCGTCATTGTGCAGAATATAGGCAACAAAGCAAATCTCTCCCTCCGCGTAAAAAATATCACTTTTTTTTACTTTCTACGAGCCGTACGGCCTTCGACGCAAGTGATTAGTTCGTGTTATTTCTCACGTGCAGTTGCGTTGAACTAGGACCGCTATCTTAAGAGAGAAAGGTCCTTGCCGACAATCGTCTCGCAGTTCGCAAGCATTGGTTCAAACGAGCCGGGCTCTCTGATGAGACGCAGAATCTCGAAACCGGTCCGGAGTTTTGCTTGCGTCAATTTCAATGTTTCTGAAATTGTGGACTCTCGCGTTTGTAAAAAGAAGAAAAAAAACAATCACAATACTTTTATATTTTAATGTGGAGCCATGGAAGCAAGATAACGGAATGATTTTTAACGCCGCTGCGTGTAAATACATCGGTGTATCCATTTTTGGTTGAAGCACTTTAAAAATACTATAAACTAAACTTTTTATTTTACCAGGTAATGCCCACAGAGCTATATAACTCTTTTTCAGGAGTAACCTGGCCACAAATTATAGCTCAAGGAAGTGGCCTATCATCATGTGGAAATTTATATCAGCCAAATTCTCAAAACGCATGTTTTTCATTGTGGAGGGAAAAACCGGAGGAACCCGGAGAAAATCCACGCGACCACAGGGAGAGAGACACGCAAACTCCAATTATACAACAGGCATCAGGGTCGGGATCGAGCCCACGACCTCCTGTCTACCAGGCGAGGCAGTTAACATCTCCTAGCCACCGTGATGATGATGAGAGACGCAAACTCAAATTATACAACAGGCATCAGTGTCGGGATCGAGCCCACGACCTCCTGTCTACCAGGCGAGGCAGTTAACATCTCCTAGCCACCGTGATGATGATGAGAGACGCAAACTCCAATTATACAACAGGCATCAGGGTCGGGATCGAGCCCACGACCTCCTGTCTACCAGGCGAGGCAGTTAACATCTCCTAGCCACCGTGATGATTATGAGAGACACGCAAACTCCAATTATACAACAGGCATCAGAGTCGGGATCGAGCCCACGACCTCCTGTCTACCAGGCGAGGCAGTTAACATCTCGCCACCTTGTAGCGCCCTCCATTGCGAGTTGTCCGTTAACTCCCAGCCACGGCTAACATCAGTGTCACGTGTGATACGTTTTCTGGGGCAACATTTATTTTTCGACAAATAAATTCAACGCAGTTTTACCATCCCAAGCGCTCTTCTGGATTAAGCCTTGGACTCCCAAACGCAATTGCGGTTTTTATTTTTATTTTCTGTCGGCCTTGCTCGTTTATGCCTCCCCGGTTTACGGCGCGTGGGGTGCGGTCGCCTTTTGAACCGCCCTCTTGCCCCCCCCGCCACCCCACCACCACGCGCCCTCGCAGCAAACACGTGCTAAATAAAAAAACAAATTCAACGGCAAAGCGCCATGCCAACGGAACGACCAACAATGTCTGGCACAGAGCCGTTCAGCCCAAGCGCTCACAGGGAGGGGAGGGGGGCGAGTTGGGCCGGCGGGACCTCGCTGACACCGATGGGGCGGCTGCGGGAGAGGAAAGCCTCACCGAGTCTCAAGACTCTTTTTTTTTTGTTCAAGAGGGTCCTGCCAGGTTTTTTTGGCGGTGCCACGGTGGCGAGATGTTAACTACCTCGCCTGGTATGCAGGAGGCTCGTGGGTTCGATTCCGACCCTCATGCCCGCTGTGTATTTGAAGTTTGCGTGTTTTCCCCGTGGTAGCGTGGTTTTTTTCTCTGGTTTTTCCCTCCATGCTGAGAATCAACGTGGTATAAATTTCCACACGTTAAGCCACTTTATTGAGCTATCATTTGTGGCCAGGTCGCT